CTTCTATAAAAATGTGCTCATTATAGAAAGAAATGCTTGCATTCTCTGGGCAGCTAGGTGGTGCAGTAGATAGAACACCAGCCCTGGAGTCAGGAGGACCTGAGTTCAAATCTGGTCTCACACCAGACACTTGACACTTACTAGCTGTGTGACTCTGGGCAAGTCATTTAACCCCGATTGCCCTGCTGCCGCCCTCCCCCCCTCCAAAAAAAAAATGCTTGCATTCTCTTAGTCTAAAGATAGGGAGAGCAAGCTGCAGCAGAAGATGGCTAGGCAGGGAAAAGACTTGGTAATGTTTTGGTGAGAGAGGAATCAGTAGACATCAATATTTATTGTGTGCTAGGGATGCAAATACAAAGAATGAACCAGCCCTTACCCTCAAGGAAATTATATTCTATAGGGAGAGACATTGTATACAACTTATATATATACATAAATGTATTGAAAATAAGTTCAGGGTAATTTGGTAAACAGTAGCTGCTGGGGGAGGGGAGGGGAATCAGGAAAGGTCTCATTGCCCATCATCTTGACCAAAGTGTTGCCACTGGACCCTGGGGGAGAGAGTGTGGCTGATGACTTTGCACAGCCCTGCCTCACTTAAATCCAACTCACTTGGGAGTCAAGACATCACCCTCCTGTTGTCACTGGTCCTCTGGGAGAATGAAGGGCACAATGGAAGCCCTTCATCCCCTTGGGCCTCTACCTCTGATTGAATGACTTCTTCTAGAGCCTTCATTTAAGGAGGGCAGCCAGACTAGCCATATCTCATTCCTCTCAAGACCACACTCTGGATTTATTGTGGCTCACCCTCTACCCCTACCCCACTTCAGCTTCCTTTTTTGTATTGTCTTCCCTCATTAGAGTGTAAGCTCCTCGAGGGTAGGTACTGTCTTTCGTTCTGCTTGTATTTGTGTTCTCAGTGCTTAGCATGGTGCTTGGTACACAGTAAGTGCTTAATAAATGCTTGTTGGCTAACTCATAGGAACAGCAAGAAAACCACTTTGACTGGACCAGAGAGTATACAAAGCAAAGTGGTCTAGAATGCTGGGAAGGTATGTTGAAGCCAAGTTGCAAAGGACTTCCTATTTGGTTGTAGATGTAATAGAGAGCTACTGAAGTTTAATTTGCACAGTCATACCCTAGTTTTGGAAGATTCCTTAAGTAGCTATAAAAAAAAATGGGTTGGAGGGGGGAGAAACTTGAATCAGGGAGACCAGACAGGATGCTATTTTAGTAATCTGATTGAGAGGTAATAAGGGCCAAAATGGCACCAGTAAAAAAAAAGTGATTGATGGGAAAGATATTGTGGGGCTAGAAGTATCCCAGACTTAGCCCCTGATTGGATGCATACAGTGAGGGAGAGCAAAGAGCCGGGGTTGACTCGGAAATTGTGAATCTGGGTGACTGAAAAGACAGTAGTGTTCTCCTGGGCAGAAATAAGGAAGTTCAGAAGAGGGGAAGGTGTGGGGTGTAGGTATGGGTGAGTCCAGTTTGGGATGTGATGAGCTTGAGATGCGTGTGGGGACATCTTGTTGGAAATGGTGACTACGCAGTTAGTGATGTAGAACTGGACTTCAGGAAAGAGACTAGGGATGTGTGTGTGTGTGCACACATTATGTATTTATATGTGTATATGTATATCAAGACAGAAGAGAGAATGAAGAGTGAGGACACTTTTGACAAATTTATTCCAAAGTTTAAGATTTTAATAGACCAAAAAATGTTGAAAATTATTCTCGAGCCAGATTTGTCAGCTCTCTCGTAAATTGTCTTTATCAAGTCCAGTTTTGATCTTACCAGAAAATAATCTTAAAAAATAAAAACAAAATTTAAAAAAAAAAGATTTAGGTGGCAGAAGGTTTATGTGTTTTACCCAGATTTATCTAGCTAATTGTTTCCGTTCTTTCCTCTGTGGGACTCGTATGGATGGCCACTGTAGAGCCTGAAGGAGGTGTTTCCCTCTAGTGGACCTGGTATCCTCTTTCACGCTCAACTTCTCTTTGCCCTAGAAGTGGGCTGCCAGTGAAGTGAGCCATGAAAAGGGGAACCTTGCATTTAGGCATTGTGCTGGCAGTCTGTGCTTCTGCTCCAAATTTGAATTCAGTAATAATAATGATTTGAGGTCTGGGGTTTTTCCCAGGGTGGAGAAGAGGGGGGGTTTAATGACCATAGCTTGGTCTTATGTCACAGTCTTCCCTGGAAATACCCTGCTCTGAGACACACGAACAACAGAAGTCTGCACCAAAATCATAACGTGATTTCCCATCTCCTGATTTTCTTGGAAAAGGCATTTCTAGGAATGTAGTGCCTGGTTAGGCTAAAATAGTCTGATGCCTTGTGAGTCATAGGAACTTGTTGAACATTTCCCTCCCTAACATTTTCTGTTTGTTGCCTGTTTAGTAGGTCTGGAGAAACCATATAGCAAGTAGTCTTGGCAAAGGGTCCTGACTGTGGGGTCCCAAATGCTGCCTTATATGGCAGCCAAGCAGTGGAAAAGATTCAGAGCTCCACCATGTAGCCTTGGTCACGATACTTTCTCATCCATCATGGTAGACCCACTTGTAGGCTTAAGTGAGATAGTAGAATGAGCATAAGGTTTGGGTCTGAGTCTGAGGGCTGACTGATAGTACTTTGGGTAAATCACTTTGCCTTTCTGGGCCTCAGTTTTCCTCATCTGTAAGGCAAAGAGGTTGGCAAGATGATTCCTCAAGAACCTTCCAGTTTTAATGTGCCTGGGATCTGATGATTTGTCTTTCTAAAAGCCTTCTCATTTCTGGCCTTGGCCAAGTTTAGTTTGTTACTAACTCAGGGAGATGTTGCTGTGTTGATTGTGACATTCCCCCCCCCCCGGGTCACAACATATGAAAGAGGCCTTGACTTTAATACACACAGTACCCAAAAATAAGCTGCTAGAAGCTGGGTTTCATAGTGTGGGTGGTTGGGAAGTGCAGGTGTAAGAACCAGATGTAAGAAATTGTCCCCAGTCTAAGGTTTCAGTAAAAGGATTAGGCCATCGTCATCTTTGTACTTAGATGCTTGCTCCCTGCCTTAGAGTTTGACGGCGCTCACTGAGATTTTGTAAGGCCTGGTCTAGGAACGTGGTAGTGGCTGTGTTTGAGATGACTGCATAATTTTAAACGTGGCCTTGGCATCTGTGCGTCCTTAGGCCCTTTTATTTCTGCTTTAGGTGATTGTCATTTGTTGATTTTTTTTTTGGTGTGTTCTTACATACCCCTTATCATTGACCCAGATCTCCCCTCTACTAGAAAAGTATACCACAAAGAAGGGGAAAGACACTCAGACCTGGAGGTTTGGGGGTGGGGGGCTGGAGGGAGATGATATGAGGTGGACAGGGTGAATGGTAAGGGCTTTTCTGAACAGGAGCCTTAAAGAGCATCTGGTCCAATCTCTTGAATGCTACAGATGAGAAAACCGAGGAAAAATGACTTCCCCCAAGAAGTAAATTAAATTTGAACCCATGCCCCTTTATGCCAATTCCACTGTTCCTCCCCAGTAACTACTGTACTGCCCCAGAGTACAGGGGAGGTGCCCGGGGTGGGGTGAACTTCTCAGCTCTGGATTCCTTCCATGTTTTCTAGCTCATTCTGGAGCTAGGGTACAGGGAGGCAGGCATTCCTCTTTCCTTTCTGAGAGAACTCTGTCTTTTAAAGTAGTGGTTCACACTGAGAGGGAGAGAGGTTCAGCCATTTTCCTGTACTCCTGATTAATGCTTATAACTTTGCAGAGAGCTAAGCATCATTTTCCAGGCCTCTGTTAATGAGAGAATTTGAGTAGGAGGCAGAGGTTGGTTTTTCTAGTTCTACTTATTCTTAGCTCTGCAGCATTCCAGTGTCTGGTCTCCCTGCCTTTTCATTGGCTGGTCCCTACCTGGACAGTGCTTCCTCCTCCCCTCCGCCCCTTAGCTTCCTCTGAGACTCCACCCATCTTAAGCAGGAGATCTTTCCTGATGGCCCAGCTGTTAACTTCTTCCCTCTGAGATTACTTAGATCTCTTCTATAAGTAGTTATTTGCCTGTTATCTCCCTCATTAGAACGTAAACTCTTTGAGGGCAGGTATCGTTTATTTCCCTAGGGCTTGTTCCCCAGCTCAATGCCTGGCACATAGTAGGTGCTCAGTAAGTGCCTGTGGATTAACACTGGAACATCCAGCCTCAGACTTCTACTAGCTGTGTGACCCTGGGCAAATCATTTCACCTTGCCTCAGTTTTCTCATCTGTGAAATGAGCTGGAGAAGGAAATGGCAAACCACTCCAGTATCTCTGCCAAGAAAATCCAATCACAAAGAGTCAAACACAACTGAAAAACAACTAAGGACTGAACAACAATCACCTTTGACTCCAGGTCTCATGCTCTCTTTTCTTTTTTTCTTTTTGTTTTCTTTTTTCTTTTTTTTCTTTCTTTTTTTTTTTGTAAGGCAGTTAGGGTTAAATGACTTACCCAGTCATACATCTAGTGAGTGTTATGTGTCTGAAACTCAGATTTGAACTCAGGTCGTCCTGACTCCAGGGCTGGTGCCCTCAGGTCTCATACTTTTTCTGTTACACCTTGCTCTCAACAAACTGATTCTTACGGATTGGGGAGCTAAGCCCTATGCCTCTTCCCAGAGAGGTAATCGTAGCAGCACAGAGGAATGGCCGTGCTTAGTCTGGGTTATCATATTTGTCACCTTAGGCTTGGCAGTGAGGGTGTGGTGAGCTCATCCACGGGGTTCTTTGTCATAGATTCTGGCTTGGGATTCTGGGGTGGACCAGAAGGACAATGGATACGTTGTTCAGTGGAAAACAGGAAAATAGCATTTAGGGGCTTCTAAAATCCCTGGCACTCTTGTGAGTTCCACAGACCTGGGCAGCTTGGTTCACATTTTTGAGAATTTGAGGTTTTACAAGAAGCTTCAATTAGATATTTCTTTCACTCCGAGGCTGCTTAATTAAACATTGAGATTTACTTCTTCCCTGTCTTGTTTTTTTCTCCCCTGCCCAGGACAAGACATTTTAAAGAGAGTATCAGGTTCATTCATGAATGCCGGCTTAGAGGTGAGGGCTGTCTTGTACACTGGTACGTATATCTACTACCTAAGAATATTCTTGTTAACAAGCTTGTCACTTTTGCCAGTTTTCTGGCCACCTGTTTTTTCCATATAATTATTAGATTGGTTCCTTAGTCAGAGTTTCTACCTGTGCATGAATCCTGAATATTGGGAGAGTAGAAAAAGCCGTGGACCTGGGGGTCAGAAAAACTGTATTCTAGTTCCTGCTTTGCCTATTTAATATCTGTGACTCTGGGCAAAATCATTTAAATGATTGTAAGCCTCAGTTTCATCCTTTTGAAAATTATTAAATTGGATTAAATGATCTCCAGCATTCCTTCAAACCCAAGTAATCAGCTGTTTTCATTTTTGCTATTATCTCCTCCCCAGTACCTGTCAGGGTGCTTGGTACATAGTACGCACTTAACAAATTCTTGTGGAATTAAATATTCTGCTGCCCTTCTCTGTTCCCTCCTTCCCACCCCCTGCCATTTTATACATTTATCTTAATTGATGTTTTCATTCACAGAAGACTGCACCCAGGATCCCAATTGTTTTTCTTTCTGAGCTGTTGTTAGGGATTGTTTTGACCCTTGAGGTTTCATGACAAAAGAAAATGCTCTTTCTAAGCTTCCCCTTAGCATTCCAATAGAATACTTACAGGTACCTATGGATAGTGAGTTTCTGCCCTAAAACTTGAATGCTATTCCTTCTCTCTGCTGGGGAATTTTTGTCCTATATGTAGGTGTTTCGTTTTATTTAGCATTGTGTTACTAAGATACCACTGGGTTATTTTCTGTACATTCTCTAATTATGAACTGTTTTGTTTATTTGTTTTTGATGATTAATTGCATTGCTTTGGGTATTTGCAAAATTTGATTCATTTTACTGGTAGCTACATGCACACACGTGTGTGTGTGTGTGTGTGTGTATGTGTGTGTGTGTGTGTGTGTGTCTATATATATGAAAGGGGGGGGAGAGCAATTATATAAAAGGTGTCAGTAAACTAAGGTGGATTTAACCATATTTTCAAAATACTTTAACTTGGAAACGTGAAAGAACATTCTCAGCTTTATATTGCAGATACTATATACTACATATTCAGACACAGTAATGAGATTGAGTACTATTGTGTACTTTATAGGTAAATAATAGGGGCAGCTAGGTCGCAAGGTGAGCTTGGCCTGGAGTCACGAAGACCTAAGTTCAAATCTGGCCTCCAACACTAACTGTGTGACCCTGGACAAATCCTTAACACCCTGTCTGCCTCAGTTTCCTCATCTGTAAAATGAGCTGGAGAAGGAAATGGCAGACCACGCCAGTATCCTTGCCAGGAAAACCCCCAAAGTGGGGTCAGACTGAAGAGTCAGATGTGACTGAACAACAATACCTGGAAAAAAAGAAATTTCATCATAACTCTTGACCCTTTACCTCCTACATGTACAAAATCATAGCAGTAATGGCTCAACATTTTTATAGTGATTTACTGATTGCTAAGAGCTTTGTAAACAGTGCTCTAGGTATTATATATCTTTTTGCAGATCAGGAAACTGAGACCTGGAAAGGCTAAGTGACTTGCCCACAGTCATATAACTAGTTAGAGTTACAAAAATAATAAGTGTCAGACCCATTTTGTTGAAGTTGTTTAACTTGAACTATAGTGCTATTTCCCATTATTGTTGTTTTCAGTTGTATCTGACTTCATGACCCCATTTGGGGTTTCCTTGGCAAAGATACTGTACTGGTTTGCCATTCCTTCTCCAGCTCATTTTACAGATGAAGAAACTGAGACAAATAGAGTTAAGCACAGCTAGGGAGTGTCTGAGGTTGGATTTGAACTCATGAAGAGGAGTCTTCCTAATTCCAAACCCAGTGCTCTATCCATTGTACTACCTGGCTGCCCTTGCTGTTTCCCATGACCATACCTAATACCATTACTGACTTCATTTGTCAGTTCAGTGACTTTTTCTCAACAGAGCCTTTCTGTCTGTTGAAAGTAGAGAAAATATTTGACACTTCTTAACTCCCATGAGGTAGGAGCTCCACCTGCTTTTGAGATGTCTGGAATGAAGTTTCTATTTAAGAGTAAAATGGTATTTATTAATGAATGAACAGCTCTTTATAAATGTAAACAGTTCCCTCTTGGCAGAGGGTGGTGATTGTAGCTCCACCCTGCCAGAAGAAGAATGATTAAGGCAGGAAGCCAGAAAGCTTTGTTGCTTCGTAATAGGTTCTGGGAAGACATATTTATTAGTTTTTAGAAAATATTTAATATGATGTGACTTAATATTTAATTTAAAAATCAGACTTCAGCTGCCTTTTGATTACGTGGGCAGATGGAAATTTCGATAGAATTACTGAAAAATGGCAGGTAATCAGAAAGTTGTATACTCTTGCCTTTTAGATTATGTTTTTACCTGTATTTGAATATGATTACACCTGTTGGCATGGGCATTCATAATACTGTAGGCAGAATGCCCTCTGAGTCTTGGGATTTAGAATTTAGTCCAGTTTCCCAATCTTACACCCTCACAATCCTACTTTGTACTTGAGATAACATTATCTCCTGGTGCTAAGCCTAAACTGAGCTGCCCCTTTTTGCCTTATCTGTGTTTTAAACTGCCCTGCTGGTAGGAGGAGGTAATTAAATGTTTGGTTTTTAAAAGCCTCTCAGTTAGGAGGTGTGGAAGCTATAGGCTCCTGCCTGTTTATTGACAACATAAAAGTATTTGGATCCATTGAGCAAAATCCCACCCTGCAAAGATGTCTACTGATAAAGCACTATTAAAGCAGAGTTACCCAGTGGAGGCAAAGGCAGAGGTGGTTTTATCTGAGTATAGACAGCAAATGAAGTGTTAAAGCAAGGCAGGGCAGATTCACCAAAGATGTTTGCCAGCATCATGGAACATGTCCTGGCATAAGAAGGATTGGCCAAGAAAAAGAAGGATTCTTTATGGATGATGAAGTTCTCTAAGTGTTCCTCATTATAGATGACATTAATGGCATAATTAGTATAATTATGATTAATAATCAAGTACTAGAATGCTTCAAAGCATACTTAGTGAAATAGTAATATGTATCAGTTTAACCATCCACACTGAAAGATACATTTTGCCCATATTATAAAACTAGATGGGTATTTTATTGAATGAATCTGTCAATGTTTACTATTAAATAAGTATTGGAGATGGATAATTAATTGGATTTGGAGTCACATTACAAGAGAGCGAGTTGTATTGCATTTTAGAAATGGTGTAGATCTTTGTATGATGCCAAACTACTTCCTGTCCCAAAAGACTGTCATTTGTACCTCTGTTCTTCTAGTGATACCATAGAGGTGAGTATCCTGGAATTAAAATGATGTATAAATCAAAAGAAAACCAAAGAACCACATGGTGTGTGTGAGCTACCACATGTTTGTGGACATCAGTGATTTGTGCAAGAGCAGCAGGCAGGTCAGCTGTCCAGAGTAAGAAGGAGAGAAAACAAAACGGCCAGCTTGGGAGGTCCGTCTTGAGTAAATCCTCTGTGAAGAATATTTGGGAAAATTAAAAAAAAAAAAGGCCAGAATGAAATGCCAGGCATGGAAGGGCTTCCGTTTCTGGCAGTGAAGGGAATAACCCATACTAGTGAAAACACTGGTTCTTGAAAGCGTTTTTATAGACTAAGCTGGCTACATTTAATTTGTAACAAACAGTAGCTCTATCAAGAAATGCCTTCAGAAACCAGATACATAGAAATAAAAGGAACATTATCAGAAGTGATCAAGGATGTTGGTATGGGCATCAAAAATTCTTCAATTGGCAAATTCACTTCTGCATTACTTTACATTTCATACTTTCCTCACGCATTTAAATGCTTTATGGTTCATGAACTGCTTAATAACAGAGGCCAAGGAAACAGAAGAGATTGAACAAATTAAGCTAAAATGTTGCTTATTAAATATCAATAAGAAATGGAGAAGAAGCTTCTCTGATTCTAATTCAGATCCTTTGAAAAATAGAATTCTGTGCCTATATCATTTCGGTAATGTATTTGTGGGGCAAAATAAAGCTTACTTGTAAATCTTAGAGAGCAGGACTCCTGTTGCTCCCTCCCCTTTGATTTGTTGTGTTACTGGATTGTTGGTATTAAATTGCAGTTGGGGTCAAAGATTACTGCCAAATTTCAAGGGAAGTCTAAGCTATCAATAATTATATGAAAAAATGCTTCAAATCACTAATACTTAGAGAAATGCAAATTAAAGCAACTCTGAGGTTCTACATCAAATCCATCAGACTAGACCAAAAAAAAAAGGTGAGGAAATGACAGGTGTTGGAGGGGCTATGGAAAAACAGGCACATTGATGAACTGTTGGCAGAGTCATACAGCCAGTTGGTCCCTTCCAAAGTGATTTGGAACTGGTTCACTCAGAGTTACTAAACTCTACCATATTCTTTGACCAGGAAGTATACCACTACAAGATCTTTACCTCAGGGTGATCTAAGAAAGAGAAAAAAGACATATGTACAAAAATATAGCAGCTGTCTTTGTAGTAGCAAAGAACTAGAAATTAACTAAAGGAGTGCCCATCTATTGGGGAATGAATGCCTGAAGAAGTTATGGTGTATGGATGTAATGGAATGCCATTGTACTCTTAAGAAATGATAAAAGGGATGATTTCAGAGAAAACCTGGGAAGATTTGTATGCACTGATGCAAAGTGAAGTGAGCAAAATCCAGACTCCAATTTCTAATGCAACGCTGTTATCAACTTTGTAAAGACAAAATTTTGAAAGACTGAAGAACTCTGATTAATTCCATGATCAACCACAATTCTGGGGAACCACTAAGGAAGTGTTCTACCAACTTCCTGACCGACTCAGAACACAGAAGACATAATTTTGGACATGGCCAACATAAGAATTATTTTGCTTAATTGTGCATATTTGTTATAGAGGTTTCATTTTTACTTTTTTTTTCCCCAAGGGGGGAGATAAGAAGCGAAAATAAATGTTTGTTAGTTGAAAAAAGTTAACATTTTTAAAAAATTCTCCTTTCTCAAAAAAAAATGCAATTGGAACCCCACACATACTTACTTGTTCTTTGCTCTTCAGCCTGGCTGGCGTTTCCAGAAGTGTGACCTTGGTGGTTGCTTACATTATGACGATTACTGATTTTGGCTGGGAAGATGCACTACACATGGTTCGGGCAGGAAGGTCTTGTGCCAATCCCAACTTGGGCTTCCAGAAGCAGCTCCAGGAGTTTGAGAAGAATGAAGTTCACCAGGTAACTGTGGGAGTTTTCTGTGTGTGTCGACTGAAGCCTCTGTTCCAGGGCCTTCTGCTCTTAAAGCTCTGGAAGCATATAATTCTAGGGCACCCTTTGGCCATAGAGATCATCTCTTAGCCCCACTCTTTCATTTTACAGATGAGGAAACTGAGGCTCAGACTTGGGGAAATGACTTGCCCAAAGGCCCACAGAGAGTAGCAGTGACTGAACTACCATGTGATGTCCCTTTCCTGCCTATCCTTTGCTCCTTACCCAATACTTAGAGGGTATTTGGCTTATGGGTTCCTGCAGTGCTCTGGCTCACGTTCCAGCCTGATAGGTCAAGACTTCTTTTAGTAGTGTTTCTACTGCAGTGGGCCCGTGGAATAAAGAAGCCTTGCATGGAGGGTGGAGAGTGGAGTTATGTATGAGGTGAGCCTAGGAACAGAGAGGGTTACAGGAACAGCCTTATTTGTTGCATGGTTTGGAGGATATTCTTGGACCCACTGGAAATGGAAAATCAGTTTATGAAATGGTATTCAGTGAGAACCCACAAGCACATTGACAGTTTCAGACATAGAAAAGTCCTTTTCTTGCAAGCTTATACTAGAGAACCTGGAGCCCAAACAGTTTTTGACATTGAGCAGTCAGCATTTCCGCTCTACTTTGAATTTACAGGGAGGACAACTTGCAGAACATTTCTTTCTCCATTTGCTCCAGGTTTCTCAATTCTTTCCATCCTGTTCCAATCCCCAGGTATTCTACATGCTCGTTTTCTCACACTCAGGTCGTTGACAGTACTGCTTTATTTTGCTTTTTTCAATGACTTCACTCTTAAACCTCTCGAGGATGATGATGATGATGATGATGCTCTCAACATTTTGTTGTTGGAACAGTAGATGGTGCAGCTATTCATCATTCAGTCAGTCAGTCAACAAGCATCGTGTGCCAGGCACTGTACTGAACTCTGAGGGTACAAAAGAAGGCAAAAAAGATGGTCTCTGTCCCTCAAGGAGCTCATCTTCTGGTGGGGAACACACCATTCAGACGATGATATCCATAGAAAATATATACGGTGTAAATGGAAGGTGATGACCTTCACTTTTTACCTTTGAAAGAAAGGTGACCACGGAAGGAAGGAACTAGCCTCTAGGGGTCTTGGAAAGGTTCTCAGAGAGGGGGTGTTTGACATGAGGAGTGAGGACTACCAAGAAGCAGTGGTAAGGATGAGGGGAACATTCTAGGCATTGGTGAGAAGGGCATGGCAGGATATGGAAGAACATTAAGGAAGCCAATGTGGCCTGGCCAGTAAGTACATTGAGAGGAGTAAAGTATCCAAAAAGACTGGAAAGGCAGGAAGGGGGCAGGCTATGAAGGGCTTTAAAAAGCCAGACAAAGGATTCTACATTTGATCTGGAAGTAATAGGGAGCCATTGGAGTTTATTGAAGAGGAAGGTGACATGATCAGACCTGTGTTTTAGGAAGATCACTTTGGCAGTGGAGTGGGGAGAAATAGATGCTGAAGAACAACCAGAAGGCCCTTGGGGTAGTCCAGCCTTGAGATGATGATGGCCTGCACCAGGGTGGTGGTATTTATTTAACAAACATTTATTAAGCCCCTACTACTGTGTGTAGAGGGCACTGTACATGCCTCCCTGTTGCTGTTTGAGAATATCTAAACAATTTGGGCTGTTGGGTTCTCTGTGTGTGTGTGTGTGTGTGTGTGTGTGTGTGTGTGATCGTTTTGTTTTTGAACCTCCCCAGTTTCGGCAGTGGCTAAAAGACGAGTATGGAGAAAACCCTTTGAAGGATGCAGAAGAAGCCAAAAACATTCTGGGTAATTACAAAGAGCAAGCCCGTGCAGAACCACCCCAGCAGAATGCCAGTGGGAGGCGGTGGAATAGCTTTTCGACCTTGCCATCACTAGCCTACAATAACTATACTACAGAGACATAATTCGATGGGATGCAGTCTTCTTCTTCCTCCTCTTCTTCTTCCTGCTTGTTTTTCATATTTTCTGTATGCACTGTGGTATACTGGACCCCTTTGCAGTCCATGTGGTGGTGGGGTGATGGTGGTGGAGGTCTGGTAGTTGTGGTGGGGAAGGAATCGAGGGCTTCTCCTTACTGCAAATATTCGTTCTCTGGGCATCCTCTCCTTGCCCTGCAATTTCAGACTCTCCCCCCAAGTGGCCTCAGTCTTAGCTTGCCTTGTAAAAGGGATACTACTGTGGAGAGGAGGGGTGTGTGCACGCACGCACACACACACACACACACACACACACACTCACACGTGTGTCTGTTGTGTGTACACAAAGGTGTGTCCTTGTATATATGATAATGATTATTATATATGTGTATATGTGTGTGTATATATATATATATACATATATATATATATACATATATATATATATATATATATGTATGTATAATGCTGCCAGTATTAGAATCATGAATAGCCTTTTGTGGGTCCAGGCCTCTATGCAGAAGTATTTAAGCCATTCATTAACAAAACACTCTGAAAGAAAATAGCATTGTATATATGTGAGCTGACATTGAAAAGAACTCAACTACATAAATTGGGGGGCTGGAGGGAGCAGTGTTCTTCCCTGGGAGCCTGGTTTGGGGTGATTTGGGGGTCGATGCCAGAAGGAAAAGGAGTAACGAGATAGAAGAGCATCAGTGGAAAGTGGTCCCTAGAGAAGGTTTGGTCCCCAGTTACCCTTTAGCCAGGGGCCCCTGGAGGGCCAGGGTTTGTTCTGGAGGATTTTAGAGCTATCCTCCAGTCATCCTGGCCTGGTCTAGGTGGTCTTCACATCTTTGTGGGAGGTCAGAGCACTTTTGAGCAGGCTGCTCACTCTGCTGAGTTTTGCTGAATGTTGACTGTTAGATGTTGACCACAAGGCATCATCCTTGTCACCAGGACTACTTCAAAGATTCCTTCATGCGTAGGTTTATTTTTCCCCCTCACTCTGTAATAGGCTTCTCTCAGGATTCCTGTGCATCTGTAGGGATCTGTGTATTGTGTCCAAAGAAAGAGTTTATTAAGCACCAGGACAGTGTTCATTAATAAATGCCTGAGCATTGATTAAGCACTTTGTTTGTACTGTGGACTAGGGAGTTGACCTCAGCTACCTCATAGAAAGTGGTTGGTTTTTTTGTTTGGGCTTTTTTTGTTTTTGTTTTTGTTTTTCAACTGATGAATAGACATGTTTAGTCTTTTTGGGAAGAAAAACGGAAGGACTTCAATGCCTACCCAAGCCATTTGAAAGTTTCTAACTTTGGCTTGAATAATGATGCTTCTGATGGGTCTGTACTTAAGTATTAACGCAGAAGACAGCAGTATATGGGTGCAGGTGTATAACCTCTGCCTTGTGTGCACTTGGGAGCAGCAGTAGACATCATGTGCTGGGTGCTGCTGTCTTCCAGGGGGGTCTCCACTCCCATATGCCAACTCAGATTTTTTTAAGCATGCAGAGCTCCGAGAATGAAAAAATGTGCCTGTCCTCTCCCTAAAAAGATGTTGCAACCCTGTTCCTCTGAATGCCACCACAAAATGCGAAGAGAAATTATCCAGTGCACTGTAGGGTCTGTGTTCAAGGTGAGCCATTTGGGGACAGGACAGAATGGAATGCTGCATTTCTAGATAGAAGCTATTTGCCACAAGCAGTGGAGGAGAGAGATGCTATTGATGCAGTTAGAACTTTGCACTCCAAATAAGAACAAGAAAAACAAAAGCCCTGCCTTTTAAGAGCATTTTTGTCAAACCAAAAAGGAAATTTTATTTAAGTTAGAGTATTGAGTTGTTAGTTTCTAAGTATGTAAATGTATGTATATGTTTTTAAATATCTAGATATCACGTGTAACCCAAAATGCCATCTTAAATAGTGGTTGCCAGTAATACTCTTTCTCCACAGCAACAGCCGGAGTTCTGAAATATTTGACATTACTAAGAAGACTAGTGGACAGTTGAAGATGTCTGCTGGGAGCCATTCTTTGCATACCTGTAGTTTCTGAGCTTCCTCTCAGGGGTGTGGATTGTACTGCCAAAAAACAAAAACAAAAAAACTGAAAATAAAGAACCTGTGGCCGTTTTTTAGATTTCCAGTTTGAAGTGTCTACTGATCTTGCTTAGGCTCTGGTCTTTTCTGATTGAAATGGCTGCTTTATAGTGCCATGATATATGCTTTTAGGAACTGGGGTTACTATTTGGCCAAAAGAAAATTATTTGCACACTAAAAAATTGCTGGATTTAAATTTGGATGATTTGGGAGGCGAGGGAGGAGACAACAATTCAAAGTATTAGATGTGTTTTCCCCATTCTAGTTTCTGGTAGAATGCTGATTGTTTCTTAGACTTGATTTGAATGGAGAGGTTGATGACCTTTGGGGGCTTTCATCCCGTGAGCTCTTTGACACCTCAGAGGGGCACTGTGAAAAGCTTTTCACTCCATTTGTATTTTCTCCATGATGTATGTCATCAGTGATGTGTGTTTAATCAAAGCTCCATGTTTTTATTAATAAAGACTACCTTTCCTAACTTTACTTCTGTACTGTTTCTTCATTGAAGGACAGTCATGTCCATTTTTACAGGTAAGACATTCCAGAATGGGATTCCGGTTGGTTTGGTCATGACATCTTGGAGTTCTTGTCTTTATGTTGTCCCTATTTCTATTATATCTCTTAGTATGGAATCTGTCTGAGCTGTGGGGTATGAATTAATTTCAACTTGGAGTGGAATCCTTGGAAGGAATGGAGAGAATCAGAATAGTAGGACCCCTCTTCAGTACACAAAGGGGTAGCTTAGGCTCCCAGAATTGATTCATTTAGTATGGGTGAACAGTAGTTGCTGAAATAATCCTCCTCATTTACAGTTTTGACCATGCCACTCCCCTGCTCTAAAACAGTTGTTGGCTCAGCCCCCCTTTCCCATAGAATAAAGTAAAAACACCTTGACTAGGCATTTAATGCCCGCGGTAGCCTGACTGGGGCAGCTAGGTGGGACAGTGGATAGAGTGTTGGGCCTGAAGTCAGCCACATGACTCTTCCTGAGTTCAAAGCCTCAGATGCTAGCAGAGTGACCCTGGGCAAGTAACTTTATCTTGTTTGCCTCAGTTTTCTCATCTGTAAAATGAGCTGGGCAAGGAAATGTTAAAGCACCCCAGTATCTTTGCCAAGAAAGTCCCAAATGGTACCATAAAGAGTGGGGCACAACTGAAAAATGACTAAACCACAAAATAGTCTAACAATCTGCCTTCCCAACCTAATTTCATTTCGCTTTCCTCATGCTCTGTCTACAGCAAAACAGACTGTTTCTAGGCTATTCCCTAGTCCTATTCTGTCTGCCACCTCCTTGCAAGTGGTCCCTCATACCTGAAGCTTTCCCTCTCTCCCCATCTCTACCTGCTAAATCCTCCTTCATGAATTATCTCTGTGCAATTTTTGATCCTTCCAGGTAAAAGGGATCTCTTCCTGAATTTTCCTAGAGCACTTTGTCCTTAGACTGCCTTATATTTAACTTAATCCCATGGAGGTTGTGTTCTCCCTCCCTTCCCTTGAAAAATAAATTATAAGCTCCTTTATAGCTGAAGTTGTCATTTTTCATCCTTACATCCCTAGTTCCTTGTGGAACTCAGAATGTACTCTGGCCTACTGGCACGATCATTCTCATTGTATGTGATGTTTTTAAAATGTCAAAAGGTGCCTCCCAAAGCTATGTTTTCCCTTCACTTGTGGCAGCAAGGAGATTCAGTGCCTGATTTCCTCTCCTGGCACTCTCAGGGTCAACACGGTCATTATATCCAAGGCAGGTGAGGCCAGGAGCTGATGGATTCGGGCCCTTGGTCTGTAGGTGGCAGGCTTGATTGATGAATAGAAACTTGTTCTCATTTTCCCCTGAACTCATGGGACCGTAATCCATGGGAAAACTGGCTTATCCAGAGAAATGGAAGGAGATTGGGAATATGCTGATAGGGATGGCACCTGACAGCTCCTCAAGGTGCATTTCTCAAAAACCAAACACCCAAACAACTCTCTAGCAAATTTTGAAATGCTGCTGGTTTAGGTTCCCCAAAGGTATGCTTGGAGCAGCATAGCTAATGATGCTGATTTTATCCCTAGCTACCATAGCATTTGGGGCAGACAGAACCTGCTTTTATGTGGGGGGTGGAGAGTAGGGGGAAGCCATCAAATCCAAGTTCAAATTTGTAGGCAAACTTTACATAGGGAAAGGTGTCATTATCAAAGCAACTGATAAGTTTGGTGATGGATTAAGGTGTCATCACTTTCAATGTGTTTATCTTCTGCATGTGGATGTTGTCATGTAGGCAGCTGCTTATTAATTCAGTTAAAATGTGGTCCCTGACTTAGTTCTGTCCCTGCTAGTCCTAACTTGAAATTAAGTGTCCAATCTATTAGGATCAGTCACTTGCCCTGTTTCCATCACGTTTCACTCCAGTACATATTCTTTGGTCTCTGCCGAGCTTTTCTCTCTGCTTATATATGAAATATTAGGAAAGAGGCAGTAGGGACTCAGTATTGTTTATTGGGAAGAATGTTGCTGGGGAGTTCAGTTATTATAAGTTAGTCTAAATCTGACCTAGGCTTATTGTCCCAAAGCTGTAACACTGTGAATGATTCTGAGGTTACAGACCCAAAAGAACAGCATGAACATTAGCATGGCTGTGGAAATTGGAAGCCTGTGTTCAGGACTAGCCTCTTGGTCCTCAAATTTAAGAGTCTGCTTCACAGTCCATCGTGGCTCAAAAAATGGACCCCTTTCTTAGAAATGCAATATGGTATGATGAATAGAAAGCTGGCCTTGAAGCCAGGAAGACCCAAGTTCAAGTCCCAACACTGAATATATTGGCTGTGTGACTTAGGCAAGTGATGTAACCTTTGTGTGGGCTAATAAGCAACTCTAACAGCAGTTCTTAACTTGGGGGATCATGACATTTGTTTGTTTTTTGTTTGAACAATTTTGATAACTGTGTTTCACTATAATTGGTTTCTTTTTAAACTTTTGTATTTTATGAATTTAAAAACATTATGATAAGGAAGGGTCCATGGGGCAGCTAGGTGGCGCAGTGGATAGAGCACTGGCCCTGAAGGCAGGAGGCCCTGAGTTCAAATCTGGCCTCAGACCAAACACTTGACACTTACTGGCTGTGTGACCATGAGCAAGTCACTTAACCCCAATTGCCTTAAAAAAAAAAAAGAAAAAAGGGTCCATAGGATTTAACAGATTGTCAGATGAGTCCGTGACAAAAAAAAAAAGTTAAAACTACTGCTTTAATTTGGAACTATGCCCAAAGGGCTATAAAACTGTACATACCCTTTGACCCAGCAATACCACTTCTAGGTCTATATCCCAAAGAGATCATACAACTGGGAAAAGGACCCACATGTACAAAAATATTTATAGCAGCCCTTTTTGTGGTGGCAAAGAATTAGAAATTGAGGGGGATGCCCATCAGTTGGGGAATGGCTAAACAAGTTGTGGTATATGGATGTAATGGAATACTATTGTGCTATAAGAAATGATGAGCAGGCAGACTTCAGAAAAGCCTAGAAAGGCATATATGAACTGATCCTGAGTAAAATGAGCAGAACCAGAAGAACATTGTACACAAAAAAGCCACAATGTGCGATGGCTAACTTTGATAGACTTATCTCTTCTTAGCAATGCAAGGATCCAAGACAACTCTAAAGGACTCATGATGGAAAATGCTGTCCACATCCAGAAAAAGAACTATGGAGGCTGAATGCGGATCAAAGCATATTATTTGCTCTCTCTCTTTTTTTGTTTCTTCTTTCTCATAATTTCTCCCATTGGTTCTAATTCTTTACAACATGACTAATGTGAAAATAGGTTCAATATGGCAGTATATGTAGAGCCTATATCAAATTGCATGCTGTCTTGGGGTGGGGGGAGGGGAGAGATGGGGAGAAGATTTGAAACTCAAAATCTTATGGAAATGAATGTTGAAAACTAAAAATGAATAATTTAAAAAGAACCACCTGCTGCCCTGAGATGGTAAGTTGCAGAAAGGATACGGACCAGCCTTGGTAGAAGCAATTTCTCCACTTGTGAGTTCCGTCTAACAAGTGGTTCTGAGGGTATGCTCCAAGGACTCTCTGAGAATCCCCTAAGACCCTTTCTGGGGGATTATGGAGTCAAAACTTTTCATAATAATATGTTATTTGCCTGTTAAGATACTCCTTTTTCCAACTATATACCTGTGTGAGGCCCAATTTTCTACATAGACTTTGATCAAAACAATATATTGAAACAGGTCTAATGAAGAAGCAAATGCGAGGTTCCAATGGTCTTCTATTAAGCCAGTCATTTAAAATGTTTGCAAAAATATGTAAAACAGTGCCACCTTTCTCACTATTTTTTTTATTTGGAAAATAGTCATTTTTCATTAAAAATATGTTGACATGTAATGGGTTTATTGTTATTTTAAATGAATTAAACATTTTAAAAATTTTTTTATCTTCTACTGTGGTAAATATCGATAGATAAAACCCTTCTCTCTTCTCTTTTTTGTTTCTCTTTATTTC